AAAACACCCAGCCACATTTACTGTGATTTTTTATGAGACTGGGCAATAATGAGGATACAGTGAGTACTGGAAACAAAATAAGAAAATCTGAGACTGCAATGTGCTTCCTTGTATGGCCTGAAATACTGAAAACACCACCACCAGGAAATCTACTTCAGTTCCTTGCTAAGTGCTTCCTGTAACATTAGAGGTGGGGTGAAGGAGACAAAACTCCCTACTGGGTGTTCCCTGCAACAGCAGAAGTGGGGTGCAGGAGTAGGAAAGCAAGCAGTTTAGATAAAATGATAAAATTACCCAACAGACAGATCAGAAAAACCACTGGGTACAAGATAAGCTTTCCATTAATATAGACTTCAACATACATCTACACGGGATTTTTGATACCTTTGGATTTTTCATATCAAGATGAAAGTGTCAACTGCCATATGCTGTGGTTCTTTGTTCTTAAAAAACACACACACATCTGACACTATAGGTTGTCCTATCATCTGGAGCAACCCGTTCCAGAAAACAACTTTTATACCAGTGCGTGACTGCTATTAATGTGGCAGTCTTGAAGGCAAAGTGACTTGAGAGGCAAATGGGAGGACCCAAGCTGCAAAGGGACAGACATGTTCAAAAGGGCAGGGCAGTCTTCCCTTTCAATTTGCTTAAGTTGCCTGCCTTCTGTAGCGCCATAGCTGCATAAACCACAAAGTAAATACAAGAAACATAACACACATTCCTAAATCCTGCCTGACTCCATTAGAGACAGAGAAACCCTATTTAACATGGAGATCGTCTACCATAAACTGGTTCTTAAGATTCACTGAGAAGGGGGATAGGATAGCCGATCTGGTGAGGTCACGGGTATGTGCCTGAGTCCCGGGGAGCAGGGTCAGGCTATGAATGCTAGGGAGCTTTGCAGTGGAGTGAGGTCTACAGAGAGTTTAAAATCAACGATGAAGAAAGAGGACAAACTGTAGTCTCAAAACACTAGCATTTGTATTAATAATAGCAACTCGCTGCTAGCATGGCATGGAGATTAAAGAAATTCCAGGTTCTAAAATCAGTGGACAGTAGCCCCATGTTGATGGTGAGGAACAGGTGTGTCAGGGGAAAAAAGCAGCGTCACATAACCCTGGCTACCTTGAAAAGGCACACTGAAAGTTCTTAATCAAGCTGACTACACTAAAAACAACAGACAGAAGGCCTTTTGGGGGTTTTCAGATGGCAGAGAATAGTTCATTATGAATTCCATATGCTTATAAAAATTAGCAGATAACTCATGCAAATTTCAAGCAGGTTGGCGGAAACGTGGAGTTTGTAGCCATAACACCTGGGTGGAGGCCTAAAGCCTGCTGGCTGTGCTTCTGGGTGACTTCAGGTAGGGGATCCAGCTAGACTTCAGCTACCTTAAGTCAGGATCACAAGAGATGACCATTAGCCTCTGCAGTCCCAGAAAAGGAGACAAGTACTCTTCCCACTGGGGAGAAGTTGACGGTACGTATTTCATTTATAAAGGAGTTCTATTATTTAAAGAGCCTATTACTATGTTTTAATTTACTACCCTATCTAAAGTTTATGTAGTCTCACCAAGCACCACCCTAAACACTTCACAAATGACTCATTTAATGAGTCCCTCGTAAGCTTGTGAGGAATGCATTATTACACTTCAGAGATAAGGAGGCTGAGTTTATAACTTGCCATGTCTGCATAGCTATTAAGACAGAGCTAGAATTAGCATGCAGGCAACCCAGCTCCAAGATCCGTGTGTATTACAAAGTGATGGCAGCTACCTGCGAGCAGCTTGTTGCCTTAAAGACACTGTTATGGTGTTGTGAGGAGTTCCTAACATGTGTTATGACAGGTAAGTGATGCAGGAATTTGTAAGATACATGGTAAGTGTCATATGGTACCTTCCAAATAAGGACACTTTCATATCGCTAGGAAAAATGTTCTAGGACTATTAATCAGAGGTTAAAAACTTAACCAATGGGCTGCACATTAAATATGCTAACTTGACAAATTTTAGGTTATGTATGTGTTAACACAATTTTAAAGGGGATTTTAAAACATGACAACTTTTGTGTATGCAGTTTTAAGTATGTTATATACTCAGATTTCAAGTTCTAATATTTTTAATTTTATGAAACTGAATTAAGCAAGAAAGAAATTATTTTACACATCAATCCCAGTTCCCTCCCCAAGAAAAAATAAATATATATATGTAAAGAAAAAAGAAAGAAATTATTAACATTGCTATGCAAACTGATAATAAAGTAGCAGTAATATATTAATGAAGGAAGCAGAAAGAAAACACTGGGCCAGTAGGTAATTTTTTAATTATATTTTTTATGAATGTTTTGTCTGCATGTTCCTATGCACCACATGCAGCCTACTGCCCACAGGGGTCAGAAGGTGTTGGACACCCTGAAACTGGAGTCATGGATGGTTGTGAGCCACCATGTGGATGCTGGGAATGGAGCCTGGATGCTTTGGAAGAACAAGTGCTCCTTTTTGCTGAACCGCCATCTCTAAACCCACCCCCAGGAGGTGATGTTCGAAGCTGGTGCCTGGCTAACCTGCTGCTCTCTCCTGCTGCTATAGAGGCTGAATGGCTGGCAAGAAGGCTGGGAAGAATTGTGAGACATGGCAAGGTCGAAATGAATCCTGAGAATGAGTGTGTGCTCGTTTGCTCTGAGCCTTTAAGAGTCAGAACTGGCCTTATGTGTCTAAAGCAGCAGTGCTAATGTATAGTGGGTAGCAAGGTCTCAGCCTAAAGCAACAGTAACACACATGGCCGCTGTTTGCTAACCTGCACCTGCTTGGCTCTTTAGAAACAATGTATTTATTCTGGACAAACACCAGGAAGAGCCTTCAGTCTTTTATCAGGGATCATGATGCTTACTACGGTGTTTTCATCCATGACTTTACTACTTGGTGGCAGTCCCCTTCTACTTCTAATTGTTGAGTGTTTTTATCATCAGGGGTGTGGAACCTTGCCAAATGCATTTCTGCACCAACTGAAGTTATGTTTCCCCTTCATCCTGTTAATTTTGTACACTGCCCTGATGACATATGTGGATACTTCTTTGCATTCTGGAATAAACCCTGCTCGGGTATAATGAATAATTCTGGCAAATGTTTCCCAGAAAGCCTGATGAGAAGGCAGTAGTAAACTACATGGCACAGCATGAAGATGCATGCTTCTGTGCCATCCCCATCTCTTTATCTATCTAGCTGTTTTCTTTATGAGTAATATGAAAACTTTATGTAAAACCCTGAGAGAAATGTCTCACATGTTACGAACACTTGCTGCCCAGATGGCAGCTCATAACAGTCCTTAACTCTAGTCCCAGGGTTCCAGGTCACTCTGCTGGCCTCTGTGGGTACAAGGTACCCAGACTGTGCCTTATATACATGCACATACAACACCTGTAAACATAAAATAAAAATAAATATTTTTTTAAAAAATCTGAAATTTGAATTTGCAACAGTCTATCTCCAGCAATACACAAAAGAGTTTGTCATATAAGAGCAGAATTTGAGGAACTTGATTTTGGAACTTAAAGTGACCTACAAAAGGCATCCTCACTCTATCTACAAAGGAGCAAGTGAAGAAAAAGATAGGGATAGAGCAGTAAGGAAGGAAACAGAGCCCTAAACCACAGCCAAGGAAAGAACCGCAGAGCCTATGGGATCTAGCAAGTCATCCACACAGATCCCAGCTAGGGAATTCGGAGAGGGAGAAGAGAAGCAAATACCCTTCCCAGCCTCACTCACTCACTCTGGTCTTCACACTGTCGGTTTGCGTGAGCACCTCTGAACCCCTGATCTTTGCGCAAGGACCTCTGCTGAAGCTTTAGCAGGTTAAAAACAAAAGCACATGGCTCTTGATTCCAGAACTTGGCTATCTTCTCTATCAGACTTTCCCCCTGCCCAGGAGATTGATAGTGAATTGATCATCACAGAGTTTCAGCACTGAGGATAATATGTATTCAGATAATTTATAATACACTTTGACTTTCGTGCTTACAAATGAATATAATTTTTTAAAGAAATGTCTTAGTCTTTACTTGCCACACTGGCTACAGAGTCTACAGCCAGCTAGGTTTGTGAGCAGCTAAGACAACACACAATCCTTGCTTTTGTCTATGGTTACCAGCAGACCTATCTAGGAATAAATACATCCAAAGGAGAGAGCAGAGAAGGGGCTTCAGAGTGAGGGTACACATTTACACTCAAACGGGATTTCCTTCTAACTGCTTTCAAACTGAATTATACAAAAAACACTACACATGCCAAAGGTAAAGTAAAACCCATTTAAAACAATCTGAAATTGCCACCGATTTAATTTTACTGAGATTGGATTACATGATTTATCTGAACATATACTAAGGTATAGATCTGAATATGTCCTTCTCACTATTTAAAAAAAAAGTCAAAACCAAGTCAAAGGTATCTATATTTACGATGCCTACTTTTAACAGGTTTTTAATGACAGCACGGTTTGTAGATAATGGCTTCAGTGTCGGGTGTAAGCACAGATAGCCGAGCTGGCTTATGTTCACCTACCGCTATTCCTTGGAAACAAGTCCAACTCACCTCTCATCCCTAGCCTGAGAATCCAATCTATAAATTCACTGTAACATGCAAATTAAAGTTTAAAAAGAGTGCAATGACAGCAATGAAGTCAGTGTAATGAAATACTCCATTTGAAATTTGAAAAGCTTGGTGTATTCCGCAATTAATTTACAGTCTCGGGAGAATTTAAAGGATGACAGTCTTAGAAACAATTTTAAAAGTGCATTCGTTAGTTGATTTTTACTATTGGAAAATCTTTAAAACTCCCACAGCTATTTTATATACACAATTTCTTTTAGAAAAACCATGTTTCAATTTAAGAGCATACTATGCATTATTTTACTTCTATAAATCCAAATGTGAATGATTGTTTTAAAATCTGAGACAAAAATTGACAACAGGCAGAAGGAACTGCAGAAAGTTACTGTACCTACCTTTAATGAGAGACTATAATGCGCAACAAATGTTGCACTTATCCACGCTGTTGAGTGGGGGTCACCCAGAAATTCTATGTGATACTTTTCAACATTTCCATCCTGGTCATACTTCACGTATTTCCCTTTGAAAGGATCAGGACAAAGTATCCCTGGCCAACTTTCAAAAAACAAATGTTAAAATAAGTTTCATTCTTTTAAAAAAGTAACTCATTGATACATTTGCCACAATCAAATATTGAACTTGTTTCTTTGAATTTTAACAACTTCTACAAACATAGATTTATTCCTACTTACACCTTTCAAAGATAATAAGCAAGTAATAAATTGTATCTTTGTGTCAATAAAATGTTTTGATGCTGTCACAGAGAAGATGAAAAAGAATTATAAAATACATGATATCCAGAATCCATATAAAATGTTTGGACACCACCAGCAGGCAAAAGGGGGTGCATGATGGTGAATGATGCATCAAATTCTCTGCAGAATGAATTAACTCTAGCCACAAAAGAAAATGGTTAGTTATCAAAATGTTAACCACAGATAACAGCTTCTACCAAAGTGAGAGAAAGCTATGTAGATGAATGGATCTAAGATAGATAGATAGATAGATAGATAGATAGATAGATAGATAGATACTATATGCAATAAGTAGATGAGAGATACATAGATGATAGGTAATAGGTGATAGGTAGATGATAAGTGATAGAAGATAGATAATATGCCAGATAGACACAGAAGGCAACTTATAGATATATGATTAATTTTAGATAATAAAATTTAGATAATAAATGACAGAGAGATACAAAGCAATAAAAGCCTAAAGATAAGTGATAGGTGATAAATTATAGATAGATGAGAGATACATAGCTATAGGCAAATAGCTAACAGTTAGATAAATAGGTGACAGGCAGGAAAGCAACTCAAAGCTCATACAGTGACAGCACTGTGGAGTAAAGCACAGGAAAGGCAGGTTCAGCTCCGCTGTTCCAAACTGTTCTTCCCCTCTATCTGCTCAACTGACAAGTCACTAAAATACATATATACCTGTAAAGAAACTTTGGATGTTTGGGAGCTGGACAGATGACTCATTGCTTGAGAGCACTGACTGCTCTTCTAGAGGATTTGGGTTCAGTTCCCAGCACCCACACAGTAGCTTACAAGCATCTGTTGGAACTCCAGTTCCAGAGCATCTGAAGCCCTCTTCTGGCTTCCACGGGCACCAGACACACAAGTGGTGCACAGACAAAACACCCACACACAAAAAGTAAAATTTGAATGTGATGTTTATTTTGACATAAATCTCTATAGACCTCATTTTCTCCTTTGGCCATTCAGTTCCCACTTACACAGCTTTCAATTTTTCTACTTTCTGTCTTTTAATCATGACTTTTAAATTGTGTGTGTGTGTGTGTGTGTGTGTGCACGCATGCATGTGTGTATGTGTGTGTGTGTGTGCACGCGTGTATGTGTGTATGTGTGTATGTTGTATGTGTGAGAGTGTGTGTCTGTGTGTGCGTGGTGTGTGTGTGCGTGTGTGTGCGTGTGAGTGAGTAGGTGAAAGAGCAGTATGTACTCTTAATTGCTAAGCCATCTCTCCTTGACAACACGGCTAAGCAAAGGCTGAAAACAATATCCCATCTGGAGTACAAGCCAGGAAGTAGAGAGCAGGCCCTGAAAACTGCTGATGTCAGCAGACCCACGCCTGCTCTACTTGATGTAGTCACTTCTATACTAAAAGGAAGCTGAAACAACCAAAAGACTTACAGGTCACAACCATCTTAAAATTCCCTGATTGTGAATATAAATAAAAACAAAGTTAGGTATGGAATGGTGGCACAGGCCTTCAATCTCAGCACTCACAAGGCAGACACGTGTATTTCTGTGAGGTTGAGGCCAGTGTGATCTACATTTAGATCCAAGCCAGACTGGCTACATTAGTGAGAGCCTATCTAAAAAGAAAATTTAGCACTAAGAAAAGTAATGCATTTGCTCAATATTTACCAGGAAGTAGATGTTTGTCTCAGCAAGGCTACTTTTTGGCCTTCAAATAAAACATACTAATTACTGCTATGTGTCCTATTTATTTTGTGTATTAAATCAACACTTTCTTACATATTTCATGTTACCTTATATAAATTGTCTGTCTTAGAAAAACTATACCTCTGAAATTAAAATGATTATTTTGTATTCAAGTGGCAAAATGTAAATTGTTAGCTTGAAGTGCTGTGTTAGGATCTAATCTATACTTTATCCATAGTAAAAGTTTTATATACATACACATTTATTTTGTTTTCCTCTATGGCCTCAAATGATCCTCCTGGCTTATTCTCTAGAGTGCTGGGATTACAGGTGTACCAGCATGCCCGAGTCTAATTAAATTTTACCAACATTTCAACATCTGGCCTGAAACTCTAGAATTAAAGCAGGAAGGAAAGGCAAAAAAATCAAGTAAGGACCCCGTGATAAAGAATGACGGCAGAAGTCTGACAAAAGTTCACAGCTCTAGACTGTGTACATCTAACACTATAGTGCTGAAAGCTGTCCACCCGTCCAGTCTGTGCATCAGCAGCCCTGTAAAGTGGGAAAGCTAATAGCAGTCAAGTGAAGAGAGTCCTGCTCTCACTCTGCCTTTTACCTGGAAACAGGCTTTCTGAAGGCATCTACTTCTTGCTATGGTTCCTAACATGTTATTAAATTCAAATAAATTTGTGATTCATACATTTTTGTTTCAGGGAAGTTAAAAGTATGTATGTCATCATCATAAGGCTGAGATGTGTCCTGACAAATTTAGATGTTGGAAACCTAATTTCCAGTATCTCAGAAGGTGTTCAGAGAAGGGCCTTTAAAGAAATAACTGAGAAAGCAGACGAGGTGCCATATGTATGCGCTCCCTGCACTCAGGAGGCAAGGCAGAAGGATTGGAGCCCAAGAGCAGCTGAACTACATGGGAGCTTGTCTCAAAATGACAAGAAGTACTCAGATAAAACTGAACACATTCGGATAGGCTCCATGTCCTAGAAGACCTGCCTCATGGGACGAGAGCAGAACAGACATGTGGAGGGAAGAGTACATGAGGACGTGGCAAGAAAGTGGTCAGCTGTAGTCAAGGAGAGAGCCTTCAAGGAAATCATCCATGAGATACCCTGATCTCAGGACTTGGAGCCTGCTGAAAAGCACATCTGCATATGTAAAGCGGGTAATGCATTCTGCTTGGTTACAGCAGCAGCCAGAGGAAGCCAATGTGACCACGTGTATGAGGGTGACTGGGGCAGGTAAAAAGAAGAATGGTTTAAAATGATCTCCCCTTGTCTATCAAGCTCTGTGTGTGCCTTTTCATAAGTATGAGCTGTGCTGTATGGGAGAAAACACGAGACCAACAGGAAAAGTACTGCTCTCCTGAGAGCTGTTTGCTTTTATTAAAAAAAAAAGACTTAATAAACATTTCTACATTCTGAATCAGTTTCTCTTAAACATTCTTGACTCAACTCATCTGAACCACAGTAACTCTAGATGCTGGCAAGATGGAGTCCCTGACACTAAGAGTAGCCTGTAAAGCCACAGGCTGATAAAGCCCACTTAACCTGTGCTGTCCTGCTAAGCACCTCTGCCAGCAGCAGCCAACTTTGACTTCAGGGTCTAGAGGTCTGTTTAATTAAGATCAGATTTTTTTTACTGTTTCTTGTGGATTAATTCTATCTTAACATGTTACTATTGTAATTTATCTTGTTATTATCATTCTATACATTTGTGCCATTGGATACACAATGAAAGTATATTTCAGTTTCTTAATTTGAAATTTAAATTTGTGCTCAACTTAGCTCATAAAGAAGAACATAAATGATACACAGTCAAATGCATTCTATTCTCTGAAGAATGGGAGATGCAGCTGTTTTTCAGGCATGTCAATAACAACAATCACAAATTAGAGATAATTTAGGGACTTGAATAAATATATTTCATGTAAAATTTTAAGTTCTTTGTCTCAGTTACTAATTCCTACTGAAATTTTCTGGTTTTCAGATATATTGATTGGTAAAAGCAAATTCATTTCTTGAATTACAGTTATCGAAACATCAAATTTCCCATTTGGAAATTGCTTTCAAAATGCATTTTTAACTCTGCTTTCAAAATGTTTGCTTTAGAGATAAAAAAAATGATAGAAAACTATAAATCCCTTTATGATAATTTCAGTAAATGTTCATATTATGTGTCTGTTAAAATATTGGATCTTATATAACCAATTAATGCCCATGTTAATTATAATGTGGGAGGGAACAATAATGTCTACAATAATGTCACTTTGATTCCTAGAAAAGCCTTCACGAAAAAGGGCACAGATGTCATAAATGTGACAAGGCAGTAAGTGTATGTGTTAGGGCCGTCATGACAACTATCACAGATTTGCCAGAAGAAGCGAGAGAACTTTACTCTGCAGCCCCATAGGCGAGTACTCCAGACTGAAGTGGGAACAGTTTGTCTCTTCTGGTCTCTCCCAGGCTGGCAGACGCCAGCCAACTTTCTAGGGTTATTTTCTGTCTTTCTGTTTTGCACATGCATGCCCAATCCAAGTCTTAAAAGAACACCAGCTAAATAGAATTAAGGCATCCCCAATGGGTCTCATTTGTAATTAATCACTTCTTTAAAGGTCCTACATCTAAATATAGTCACATTCTGAGTTATTAGGAGTTTTGGCAGCATTTAACATATGAATGTTAAGGTTTCATAACTTATCAAAACATAGTGAGTGCTGCTTAAATCTACATATTGACTTGAAGGTCTATTGCACATACACACATATCAGAACAGGCTTCTCATAGCCTCTCTTTTATGGTCAAGCCCTTATTATCTTCATAGACAACAAGATAACAAGTCAATATACCTTAGTTTTCTAATGTAAAAGTTTACAAAACGAGTAAAAGTTTCTGAAAGGGTAGTATTGGTGGCAGCACTTACTCAGAATCCTGTACGGTTCCATCAGAAAGACACTTGCCATACAACAGTCATGAAGAAGCTGAGTGACAGACAGGCTACTGTACACACACCAAAACAGGGTCAATACCCTCCACTCCCTAGGGACCTGGCAGTATTGGTATTTGTGAGACAAAACAAGGGTGAGTGGGAAATGCACACAGATCATCTGACAAATTTGAGAAATGA